TCAAGCCCGACCACCACGTCAAAGTGGCAGCTTTAGGTCTGGAAACTAACCCAGACCCGAAATTGTTTGGTCATCTTCGCATACGCCCCAATAAATTGCAGCAGTGGCCTTCAGTTGGACCTTCAGGGGCCAGTTGTACGGACATGACTTTTTTGGCTGGTTATTGGAATGCTCAGTTGGGAAGAATCGACAATCATGAGGGCCGCTGGGAGATTTGGTATGGGTACTCTCATAACTGACAGTGTGCGTTGATCACCATCCAGTTGCCGCTAGCACACTAATGAGCATCGCGTTGCCGAGTTTCATCCAAGTCGTAACTAACTGAGCACTCACGTTGACCACAAAACAACCGGAAACTGATGTTGGAATTGTTTTCATCACTGCTGTTTTTGGGATTCGTTTACTAAGACAGCCCAGGCTCTGGTTCGTACCAGTGTTACTGTGTGCCTCCCAGCAACTAAGATCACTGTTCAACTCTGTGATATTCACTGCTTGTAAGATCCTGTCGTCAAATTAGTCCACAGAATAAGCTTTCTGGACAACTTGAGAGCGCGAAACAAACCGATCAGCGAATTACAGACTGATTTGAAATCCGGAATGAAGCCACCGTACATACATGAACCGTTCAAATGTTTCGTCCTTATCGGTGCATCTGGCCTTTTGATACCTATCACATTAGGGGGTTTGCTTCAAAACTAAAGAAGAGGGAAACCTGGTGTAGTGTACCTGGACCCTAGAACTGCTCTGACTACCGTGAAAAAGTCGACGCGGCCAGTAAACTGCTTGGCTTAGGATATACTTCGCTCAAAGGATTCGTGAGATCTTCAGACTTATTTACTCCTCACTTACATTAAGCCTTTGAGTACGGATTACTGGCAGTGTTCCCACTGACCGAATACGAGCGTGACATGCTGGAGAGAGTTCAGCGCTTTGGTACGAAAACTATCATGAAGCTGGTGTCTCCGCTTCGAAAGAGTTCTTGAGCAAGTAGGATTGTTCGGTATGGACTACCAGCGTGGTTATGGAGAGTTCATTTAGAGTAAGCGAATTCTTAGAAGCATGAACCTTTTAACTTCTTCACACTCAGCGCCGACAGCTCGAGCAGGGGCCAAAATTCACTTAGTAACTATTTCACTAAGTGTATCGCAGTATCACAGGTGTTCACTTGATTTTCCTTTTTTGCTATCTAGCTCAGTCCGATCTAATCTTCAAGCCGTACTTTGATCAGCATTCTGTTTATTCTTACCCCAACCGGATTGCATCCAACCGTCTGGTTTCTCCACTGCTCTCGGTTACCTATGTCGAAAATTGAAGAGGCAAAGAAAAAGGCCAGTGAAACAGCTGTTGAAGATTGGCTCCAGGTACGATAATGCAGCATGGGGCACTTTTACTCGCCCTTTCGAAGGACGAGCAAATAATAGGTATTGGTAGTGGCACCACGATAGAGTACGCTGTAGAAGCCATCGGTTAGTTTCCAAATTTGTTTTTGTCTTGAGTTCCAGGACAGCTCACAGAGTATCAACCGGGAAGTTTAGAATCAAATGTGTTCCGACCTCGTTCCAAGTGATAGCGATTTCAAGCTTTATTTACCATGCAGGCTCGAGATCTCTGTGTGAAGTACAATCTGGAGTTGACCAGTTTGGATATTCACCATAAGGTGGGAAGATGATGTCAACATACTGCCTACGCTTTTAGCTATCTGTTGCCTTCGATGGAGCGGATGAAGTGGACGAGTCGCTCACTTTGATCAAAGGGGGTGGAGGCTGTTTGCTTCAGGAGAAAATAGTGGCTTCTTCTGCTGCAAATTTTATAGTCCTCGTTGACGAAAGGTATGTTCAGACGAAAAATGCTCGATATTTGCACTAAAAATCAACCTTTTCCATTCTGGCGCTTTTTGAATAAATGTGGTGCCGTCCATCAAGAGAATGTCCGTGAATGAAATAGGCTCGGTCCATAAATTATTCTCATTAAGACGGACAAGGTAGACATGAGAGGTGGTTCTGAGAAAACCACCTACACACCCAAGGGGAAAGATATTTTCTCCCTAAAATCCAACCTAAGTGTGTAATTAAAAGTGCTCCCCAGGAGCACCGACCAAAAGTAGTGGAGTCAGTGTGAGGTTACGGCCAAAGCGTCTGTCGGGTACTTTGCGCCACAAGTTAGTCGTTTTGATGCCCTCAGTAAATGGCAGCTAGCCCACATTCGCAAGTTGGTCCAATTTCCCTCAACATCGCGGAATCCTAGATGGAGTATGCCACCTCGGGATGCTGAAAGAACAGACAGCCTTTCCACCTGCGGAAGTGGGAAGCAAGGAGGAACCCGTGTCTTGAATAACAGCCGAACCGTAGCGTACAATTCAATTTCCCAGGCATTTGTCACGTATTTGTTCCACACGTGATCTGCGTGACATATAATAGCATAATGCGAACGCCTTCACCCGAATGTATCGAAACAATTGTTTAAAAAACCACGTTCGTTTTCCATCAGTCGCTCTTCCCTGTAGTATCTACGATGGATGTGTTGGGAACCATGGTACATCGCAGAACCGAAGCATGTTATCAGCAGTGTTTCAAGGAAAATATTTCATCCATCAGTACCCGAGACTCAGCGGATTCCTAGCTGAATATCTCGTTTATGATATTCTTTCACTGAATATGCTTTACAAAGGCCGTCTCATGTTTCAGCTTCTACTTTATTCGAGATATTGTAGTATATTTTCCTGAAGTAACACTACTCATAAGGTTACTGAAAACTCTTTGACGGTGAGTGTACTTCGCAAAATTCGTAAAACTTGGGTTCGAGTGGAACCTAAGGTTTACGGTAACTTGAGGACTCTGCCTACCTGATGAGCCCCAAAAAGGGCGAAAGCCGTCGCGGGCTGTCAAATAATTTTCGGCAACCTTATGAGCAGTGTACCATAAAGGAGCTATTCCATCCGGTTTTCTCATTGGCGACGGGGAAGATACCGCTACATATGTCAGTGGTTGTCCTATTTCCATCCGTACTCAAAACCTGTCGTATCTTCTATTTTTTCTCGCTCGCCAATATCGTCGTGCTCGTTCTCTCCATCGTTGATGGGAAAGCGTTCTAGTGTTGAAACCGTCACATGAGTGCGGTGACACTAAGTCGTATGTGACAGCACTATACTCTAGCAACTTTTCTACGCCGTGGTATCCGAACCAGAGTTGCACAACTAGTTCCACTTTTAGTTTTATTGTATGGTTGCTGCCAAACTGCCGAGTTATTAGTAAATTATACCGTAAATTGATATACTGTTCAAGTGGCGCCATCACCTAGCTGAATTTAATAAGTATTTGACACTTGATTGATACATATGGTCGCTTTGGGGGTCACGGGGGCCAGATGGCTCAAGTGGTTAGGGCACGAATATACTGACTGGACGGTCCTTGGTTCGAACCCGACCTCCACCTCTCGACCTACCCTGTCTAGGCTTGGGCAACCTCATGCTTCCTTTGGGTGGCATGCTTCCCTCAAATTGCTTAAATACATATAATTTAGTTGGACCAGATTGTTTTCTTTCGTGAGTCGAGGTCATTTTCTCAGAGCTTCCTAAATTATGTACCATTTAGCAGTTGAGGCAGTCTTAGCACAGCGGCGTCTTATGAGTACAATAATATCCAAAGAGAGGCCACTCCTTAGGGTACATGGCGAGCATTTCCCGCCAGATTTCTGCAGGATTTCTCTTTTGCTGGTGAAGCCACCAAAGACCCCCCTGCAGAGTCCGCGATTGTTATCCGAGCAGGCATTTTACCTCGACGAAGGCCACAAGTATGATTGTGCATAAAAACTACCGATAAAACCTGGATAGTCCAACGAACATATGGTCTCTCCGAAACGGGCTAGCTGCAACTCAACACGTACGTGGCTTTCAGGCTTGAGATAGCTCAAGTCCACTAACCGGGAGGTTTTTCGTAGGAACCCAACTCCCGCTTTTCGGTTGCTGTTGCCTGTGCTTGAGTAACCTAGCACTATCTTAGCTCTCGTGACTCCGAGTTGAGTGGAATGAATGCATCACTATCGGCGGATGTTGGAAACGGGCGGCAATTCAAAGCTCGAAAAGTATTGCCACCACTGGATGAATGCTGAGTTTTACGTCACATTACAATCAATAACACATTTCCTTTCTCAGTACTAGTTCTTTGATCATGAATGCATCACTATCGGCGGATGTTGGAAACGGGCGGCAATTCAAAGCTGATCAAGGAGCGCTGGTGAAAACAGGATGCGAGTAAATGGCCTGTTGAGCCAAGTTAGATTTTTGTGCAGCTGTTTTACCATGATTTGCGCAGGATGTTGTTCCTGAAAAGGTGACTAAAGCTTGTTTTGCAACACAGTTATCAAAATGTGACCCTGGATTTATTGGAACCTGTGACGGAAGGAGATACTAGGGTGGTGACTATGTTTTAAGGTGATTTATGGAATAACCATGGGTTTGCTTGGCGACGTCCCTTGTACTCATATAACTTTGTGGATCTTAGGAGAATCCGATGAGTGCTTGAGAAAACAAGATATACACGAGAAGAAAAATGAATGGATGCTATCTGGCACATGGAATAAGCAACAAATTCGCTTTGAGGCGAAATCGATGGATTCTGATGGAGGAATCAGGTGTGAATTGCCATATACTAGGTGAGAAATCCGAATGACACTGATTCGTCTATAAAAAACGCCCGTGTCAGGTTCCCCGACTTTTCGGAATTTCAAACACCCTGATACACGGCTTTTGTACCAAAAACGTCATCTCCGAGGAGAGGATACTTACTTCGCTCCTATTTCACCTATCAATGATGATTTGAATAAGATTGCCCCTTCGTCAAGAATTTCCCATCTCCACTGACTCAGGAAATGCTCCAAGAAATTGGGCACACAATGGACGAAGGGCCTTCCGATTGAGGTGGTACCAATGGCGATCAAGCCGGTTCAGATACGAATCAAAGAAGTTTTTGGTGGTAATCCCCTCCTGAGGCCTGCGGGAACTAAAATGGTAAGTTTATCCATTGTTGTCTGTTTATTCGGTAACGCTCGTTAGTTTGTTTCAGATTAGGCATCAACAGTCGATGGGTGGATTATCAGGCTTCGAGAAAAAGCATTGACTGTCTGCTCGTCGGTAGTATGAAGACATTTAGGAACTCAGTTGAGATTCCGTCCTTTACGTAAAGCCAGTCTATGCTGAAAAGCCGAGAAGCATTACACAACTGTTTCATCACTGTTAGGAACCATCAACACTACGCACCTCAAGAAACTCCAGAATTTCGAATCCGTGACCACTGGGTTAGTAGTTTGAACACCTATCCGTTCGGGTACGAGCGCCTGATCAGTGGCGTGATTAACTCGCCTTAGGCATTCGTGCGGCGCAATAAATAATGTCAGGCATATGTGTAGGTAGCGAATCTGAAAGAACTGGTCGTTGACATACAGCCGGGTTTCTCACCACTATGCGATAGGTTTATTCCGAAACTCATTGTAGCGCCATACGGCCGTACACCAGAACGATACCTTCAGTCTACACAAACCAAACGACTCAATATCATACGTCCATTGCCTCCATATTTGTCTCACACGCGTACACCTCTTTTCTGGCTTCCTATTCCCTCACTTCTTCCTCGCTTTTTCAGGGACCTCAACTAACTGACAATGGCAACTTCCTCTTAGATTGGCATTTCGACCCTCAGGCCAATTACGATTGGCATAAAGTTGAAGACACACTCCTTCATATGCCAGGTTGGTGCTGCTTTTCACTGCATGTATAGTTTGAATGTGGCTTATTGGTTTATTTCAGGAATCCCCAGCAAGTGTATTTTCAGGTCTCCACATCCGGTCCGTCTGAGTTAAGGTAATGAGATTCGAAATTGCCTGGATGACAGTTTAGTTGGAAATAACCACGGGGGTGTCCGTATCTAATCGATTTTTTAATCATCACAGCGTCCCAGAGACTAACCACTTTGTAAGAAATCCCTCTGTGCCACATTCATTTCGTTTGATGTCCATCACACTTGCAAGGGGTCTCTGACCGCGGATCTCCTTATGTGTAGACCGTAGTAAAAGGCAGTTGTCATAACTGGCTCATAAGATCCAAATCCTGTATTAACCTTAGCGGTCTTCTACACGTAAGATGAACGAAAATCCACCGAATCAGTACTAGAGACCGCGACTACAATTTGGCTTTTTGGATCCCTTATCTGTTGATGGGTACAACATAGAGAATCTGTCTTTTTTTTTTTAAACAGAAATAGGCACAAGTTGTGTTGAAGACCGTATGGATGTCTCGAAATAGAACCGATATCTATTGAAGACCTCAGATTTCCGGAGGGAATACCGTCGTTTTCTACTCACCTCTAAAGTGGCGCAAATATAACATACTCTGAATACAAACCGTTCGAAATTCGCTAGAAAGTCATTCCTGATTAGTTACTTAGTTTGGGTTTTATTATGGCAAGGTGGCTGAGAGTGGACAGATTAATCGCTGTTGGGTACTGGGACGTATAGCCTGGAAAACAGACACACAGACAGGCGTTTACTGAAAAGCTTTACCTTATCATAAAAGTGGATAGCCCACAGATAATCAGATAGAATTCATACCTAAACCTCGGTCCTCGGATTTACCAGTGGGAATTGTGGTTCTACCTCCAGGTCCACTCCTAAAACGAGCCCACTACGATGGAAAGTTCGGTCCGTAAGGATTTGTCGTACCCGTCTTATCCGGTCAACGGTCCCTGTTCGCCAGGCGCCAGCAAATCATTCAGCGCAAAAATCTACCCTACATGTGGTTTCTTTTACATAGTCTATTGGGACGAGGAAGCCCAGAGGCAGTAAAGGAGCACCAAATCTTTGGAACTTTTAAGCAGCCAAACCAACAACGGTGACAGAAACGACGATTTGTGACCATCGCTGTGCAAGAGGCTTAACTCATGGCTTACCACAATAAGCCGCACTCGTTTGCCGTGTGCATGGTTTGTGGGCACCACAGACCACAAGTGCACAACAAGCGGAACCCAACTATTTTTTTCACCTTTGAGTTGATACTCATCGTGCACTGGTTGCGTATACTTATGGTTTTCATCCTACTCGGGTGTTTTTATCCCTGATTAGGAAAAACAGGTGCGTATCATCTGAAGCATTCCTTCCACGCTCAGATATGAACTGATGGGAATACGCAAGTTTCGCCAATCCAGCTCAGAAAATGTGAGATGCTGTTTTATTGGTTGTCACTCTCAGGAGAAAACACTCCTATCGAGGGTACGTTGTGATATGTCTGAAGGCGTTTCTTCGTAGACGTGGTGTGGATACTCTACTGATTTATTGGCTTACAAGCCAACGCAAGGAAAGGACTGTGCAAGCGATGGTGTTATCTGTCGGGATACTGTCAAGACTTCGAAACCTAGATAGGAGATAACATATTGTAGGATATTCCATTTATTATGAGAAGCCCAATTGAGTGATGAGTGTAATCACAAGCCAGGACTTGTAAAGACTCGAGATCTACCAGTAAGTTCCGGTATTACACGTATAAAAATACGTATATGAAAAATACGCGATTAATATCGAATTGTGGGGATTTTCGTCTTAGCCGATGCGCGAATGGGTGCAAGTCCAAAGAAAGCCCCGAATTCTCATGAAAACGCTGCAGAAATGGTATAACCAGAGGAAATGATTTTTATCCACACCTGTGCGCACAACGCGTGGTGATGCAAGTGGTCAAAAAGTGCGCGTAAAGGGTTTACAATAACTGATTTACTAGGTCAAGGGTCAAGTAATCATTGGGTATTCGAGTGCATATAAACTCTGAGAGAGATACGAGAAAGACAATGGTTTTAGGTAGTTGAGTCTGAATAGTAGAACGAAAATATTACTCTAAATCTCGAAAGCCTGCGGTTGCATACTACGCACTGTGATTCAACAGCGGGCGGGTTTCGAAGCGGATGTTAGTTCGGGGTGGCGAATTCAGTGAGCGGCTCAGCAGAAGCCTGATTCTCATTTAGCCTCATGACATTTTCACTCATCAACAGGCTGCCGTTGATGTAACCGTTGTTTTAGTCTACACGTTAACATGGAACTTTGGCTCATATAAGTGGTGAACTACCCAAATCAGGGATTTAGTGTTACCATTTCATCGTAAGTGATAAAGCACCGGTCGGTGGGTCAAAACACGGAATCAGAAGGTCCCGGCTTCTCTTACGGTTAGAGTAGACCTGGGATGTGTGAACGACCGTGCGTTGTGTGATTTTTTGCAGTCTGAGGTTACCATTTTGTCTCAGTATCGTGCATGGCATACTTGTTTTTCTCACAGTAACCACCTAATAAATTCCTCTTTCACTTTTAGGAGTGGTGGAAACCGGCCTCTTCATCGGCATGACACGCAAGGTGTATGTCGGAAACCTGGATGGCTCCACAAGAATTCTCGGTGAATGAAACTCGAATTCAACCGACCCACTTCCATAGATGCCATTCTCATTTTGTAGTCATTATTTTTGTAACTTTTTTGTCTTACTCCGGCAACAAGCAACGACGAAATCTCACATTTCATCAGTGCTTGCAGTTAATCCATTTTGAGATTGCGTATTTAAGTAGTGATCTCTTTAAGCACACTAATTTCATACTGTGTTTGAATGACGTGGTGCATCAAATAAATGAGCCCTGACCATGGTCAGTCGAATGACACATCCAGTTGTTTTCTTCCTTGCGTCACGTCAAAGCCTGTTTTTTTTGCTGCAAGAGCACAAGAGTGACAAAAATCCCAAGAGTCAAATCTTTCATCTGTGGAATATTTTCCATATCTCTGCCATTCAATTCGAGGGAAGCACAAGACTGGAGTTTACCCAAGCCAAGTAGTAACCGAAAAGCTGCGGATCTCCTGACCAGTAGTTCGTACTCAGCTGCCTACGTCCAAAATAAGGTTAAAGACCGTCAAAAAATTTGCTGCTGCTCATTAGCGGTCACACCGCTTGATATATTTAGCAGAACAGTGGATCATACGGACCGTATTCCGAAAATCCAATCACGCCAAAGCTTGCTGCACTTTTTATAATCAATCAACCAGTCGGTTTAGCAGGCCAGTTACTATTGCACACATTTTCACTGTTTCCGTTATCCTGTGATCGTGCTAGTTAGCACATCTAACCCTCCTAATTAGTTCACACGCCAATCTCAATTCACGGTCATCAGAGGTCAACTATCATAATTCCGCGCCACATTGTTTTGAGGGCTACGTCAATCAACTGCGTAAACACGACTGGAAATCACACCATTCATCATCATCATGTACACCAACACACCAGCAATGGAAGCCGAACTGATAGTAGGCGGCAAAATGGAGACCAGATTTCAGCAAATGAACAAGCCGTAAAACGTCAGCATGAAGTCTATCCTATTGTGCCCGACTGAACTTTGAAGCTTGAAAATGAATTCCAACCCGTCATTCTCATCCTGTGATATTGCTGAATAAATTGGCATAAAGACTGAAACCTACAGCCAGACAACGGTGGATGGTAGCAACCAGATATCTGGGACGAAAGACAGCACGAGGCGCTCGCAAATTTGTCTGTACACCAGAATTGTGCTGTAAGGGCAGGGCATGAAGCTAGTTATGACAGATCTCTGCTTATTGTTTGTCTTTCTGTTAGGCTGGCTAAGTCAGTCATTGACTGAACGTGGGTTGGGTTGTTTTGATTTGTGCAAGCTGTGGCGGAAGGCGTATATTTAGGAGGCTTACTGCAATTTCCGAACACGAAAAAGTGATCCTTAACGTGAATGTTTAGCTGTGTTTCCTATCAAGAGAGGTGCTCTGGTTGTCGCAAATGCACTCTCAAAGATGAAAAAACTGATCCGACCAGTAACAACCCAGCAAAATTTGTCAAAGTTTCGACGCCAACCGAATCACAGGTAAACCTTGATTCCAGCTGCCACAACTTCGTTTGCTGCTGTTGTGCGGAACGGGAAGGATTCGTTACGCATTGACGTCGTTGACCTGTAAATTAAGCGTGATGGACGCTTGTTACTGATGGATGACAAACAAGGTACCTACATCTTGATGTAGCATAGATAAACGCATTTGAGCATCATGTCGAAGCGGGACGCCGTCCATTAGATTGATCCAGAATCGTTCGCAAACCTCACTCAACATGCGCGTAATGTACGACGATAGATAGCCCCACACACAGCACTGGGACCGGCTACGTACTCTGATTTTTTTAACGCAAAACTCAAGTGTTGTGGACCCCAACCGACAGTGCTCGCGGCACCCGGTTTGACGATGGTCGCCAAGTCATATTCGCGAGCCTTTGGGCAACAAGGCATGGGGAACACTGTTTCTTTTGGTGCGGCTCTAGTGACTCTGTTTGGTGACCAAGCACTCTCGCTTACGCATTACCTGTTTGCGAATACGCTGCAGTCAGCTAACGCCCGTTACGCTGAGAAGACATCAGTTATAAAAAGGTTCAATCCGTTTGATGTTCTCCTATCGGACAAATCAATTTTCGCGACCACAGAGTAAGACTGTTTTTACGGTTACCTTGCACACATCACCCTTTTGCCTAAATTAAATTAATGATTGGCAAGTCTCGTTTGCGCTTTGATAATGCGTGCATTGACTTTTCCTACCACGTGGTCACATATTATGCAGCCGTCCAGATAAGTAAACCGGCCAACAAGATTAATGTCCTTTCCTTGAGGTTTCAGAATAACAGTGGGACTGAAAAGTTTGTAGCGACGCTTTGCACTTTGAGAGAGCAAAGCCCATACCCAGGTAGCCAATCACTTCCGACATTCTGCCTATAATAGAGTGTGGATTGATGACCGGTAAGTAACAAGACAAAGTTGTCCGCGTAGACCAATCTCACTAGCCTCAAAAACCTGACCATCACGCAGCGGTGATCAATGCAGTACTACCAGAGTACTTAAACCCCCAAGGAGCTGGTAGTCACACTTGATCCGACCCCCACCTGGGAGTCCAAGACCGTCATTCATTGACCACCCTGATGGGAGACCCTATAAACGCTGCAAGGTTATCCTGTAGTATAGTTCAATGGGTCGCTGAGGTAAGCGAACCCACAAGAAGATTCAGTCTCTTGACAGATGTATCTAGGTGTTAAAAGCTATTTGCAGACATTCAGAGTGCTGTCGATTCAAGCCAAACTAGTCATTAAGGTAACTATCCTGGGTTTAGAGGCACCTTGGATGCTGGTAGCTCAGGATAGTAGTCAAACTCGAAACCACAATGAATTACAAAGGTGTCAACCAGGGAGAAGTGACATCTCTCAGTCGTTTCCGAGTAAAATACACTGTCATTGGTTGCAGCCCGCTGCGACACATGTTCAAAGTTATGAAGCATCTCCATTTCGGTGGAGCACAGATTACCCCTCTGCCCCCGGCTGTATGAGTGATGTGGGTTCATGCACAATTCGAAAATTTTTCTACTACCTTGGATCTACTAACATGCGTACGTCTGCATTCACTCTTATTTACGGAAGTTACTGAATCCAGTCATAAGGGATACGGGCGTTTTACAGTGAGTGGACGTGAAAGGTACATCAAATCATTCCAGAGTCTGCTTCCGCCGTATCAATCGCAAATAGAAGTGCCTATAGTGACTAAGCAAGACAGCTACTACCGCTGGCAGTGGAAGTGATCAGATGGAACAGTGGTACGTACCACATGAGATGTAGGCACGCAGAGTTACTTAGTCCTTACTGGGATTAACTGTCTCTGGAAAGACCTTATGGAGATAGATTCTCTTCACCAACTCCAACCAAACATTTCCAGCGACCTCTTTCAGACCACGGCAACTCCAAGCATCGAGCCGATCATGCGTGAAATTCGTGCAGGGGAAGCTAGCATCTTCATAGTGCAGGTAGATAATGAAAAATAGTTGTGTCTGCTCTAACCTGAACAAAGTAAGCCCTTCACAAACTTCCTAAACCGGTTTTCAAAATTTATTGGAACCTGGTAATGGGGTAGATTGGTTCAGGAATCCCAGCACTGGGTCATAAATAAAGTCACATTGCTGAAGCACGAGGACTTATAAATTAGGTAACTGAATCCCCAGATGAATCAGGGTTGATCGAGTGCACGCTGGACGTACCGTCTGGTGGCATCATTAATCGTCTGTAAAAGATGACATCAAAACAACGCGAAGTTTCGGTTGTACAGGGAGACGAAAATCAGACTGCCTGCATGATGTAAGGGTTCATCCGGTGACGAAACTCTCCACTCCTAACTGCGGAGATAGTTTTGGCATTTGATCCATGGGGAGTGACTGCAGCATCCGAATTGACACTTGGGGCCTTCGATTACCGATGTCGCTGTACTCCGTCTCGTCGACATGGGAATCGGTGTCCCATTGTAGAGTCAGTTCTTTGAATTTCTTGGGCAGTGCACATTAGGACAGCTACTGGGACGGCTCGCGGCTACTGGTCAACAAACAGTGTATAAAATTTTTAGTGTATCACTGCCGATAAGTAAATAGAGTCACAATCCGGAAGTAATGACGACCCCTTGACCCATAGTTGATGAGAAAGAATGATGGGAGGTTTTCGGATGTCAGATTGGTAAGAAAGCATGATATATATTACAGAGCCGAGGATCAGAATGTAAGTTCAGGAGGATAGTAAAGGTAACGCTGGGCAGAACATCTGTGAATTAGCTTATCGAATGTCCACATCACGTGCTCTAGGCAGAGCATGCTCCGATCAAGCAGGGGCAAGTTGTAAGTCGCAGCTGTCCAGGTGGCGGGTTCCGGTCCTGGAAATTGTAAAACAAGTTATATTACTCACGAGTACGCATTCAACAACATAAATCATTGGGGTGGCAGAGGGGGCAGTGTCGTCTAGACACACCGAGAGCATGCAGAAAGCATAGTAGTCGGGTTGTTCCTGGTAAGGCCAATACCATGGACTAAGGGAATGAGAGAAAAACACGGCCCGTCTGTGCGTACAATAAAAAAACGCAATGTAAACCAGAACGAGAAACTGCATGATGTGAATTTTGGACAGGCAGACCCCGTTCGTAAACTATACACAACGGACTCATTCTATCGTTCTCTGACAGGACCGAGTTCTTCAATCCTGCAATGCTTCGTTATCGAATGGCCGAACACGCTACTTCACTTTAGTGTGATGTGCGACGATCTTTCTGGCCACTGCGGCGTTTACGCATGAGTAGTATAAGTGGACAAATGACTGAAGCATAATTTCGGTTCGGATATCCGTCAATACACGATGAATGAAAAACTAAAGTCGGGGTTGATATGCGGACGCGGAAAGACAACAGTCAAGCCGGGAAGCAGCATTACNGTCGCAGCTGTCCAGGTGGCGGGTTCCGGTCCTAGAAATTGTAAAACAAGTTATATTACTCACGAGTACGCATTCAACAACATAAATCATTGGGGTGGCAGAGGGGGCAGTGTCGTCTAGACACACCGAGAGCATGCAGAAAGCATAGTAGTCGGGTTGTTCCTGGTAAGGCCAATACCATGGACTAAGGGAATGAGAGAAAAACACGGCCCGTCTGTGCGTACAATAAAAAAACGCAATGTAAACCAGAACGAGAAACTGCATGATGTGAATTTTGGACAGGCAGACCCCGTTCGTAAACTATACACAACGGACTCATTCTATCGTTCTCTGACAGGACCGAGTTCTTCAATCCTGCAATGCTTCGTTATCGGAATGGCCGACACGCTACTTCACTTTAGTGTGATGTGCGACGATCTTTCTGGCCACTGCGGCGTTTACGCATGAGTAGTATAAGTGGACAAATGACTGAAGCATAATTTCGGTTCGGATATCCGTCAATACACGATGAATGAAAAACTAAAGTCGGGGTTGATATGCGGACGCGGAAAGACAACAGTCAAGCCGGTAAGCAGCATTACTATGCGGGAACAGGACTCTTTCCTGGTAAACATACAAAATAATTCAGTAGTGACCGAACTGATCGAAACACAAGGAAAACGAGTTTTGGACAAATTAGGATCAATTACAGGTAGTGAAACTTGTAGAAAATCGCTAGATTTATTGCTAAGCAACGTATCGCCTTTGGTTTGTGGCTCGTTAATTAGGCCGAAAGGTAAGCCGAATTGTGCACAAATCAACAGGATATCTTTCTAATAGCACGCAGGATCACCGTCGAATGTCGATTAAAAAGCGCAGGAACCGCTGGACATGGTCTTGACAAGATAGAATCCATGGGGAAGACGTGTAAGTCTTAAGAAATGGACTACGGGTAACACTACAACGTTTGATGACAGCCGAGGTGGTGGGAATCTTCAGACGTAAATAGAACAGGTGTTTTGAACTGCTGAACGTGCACAACATGGTTAACAAGTGGCGGCGTGTGGATGTAATTTGAGGGATCTTAGATCCAAATACAGAGCCGAAGCCGAACAACATTCAGTTGATCCCTCCACTCTTTTGTCGGGACACTACATCACCCGAACGGATCAATAAAGCTCCGAAACGATGTCCAAAAGCGAACATCAAAAAAAGTGCTCTGAATGTCAAAAACGAGCCTCTAATACATCGACCGTTACACCTAATATCCTGCGCCAACAAAAAAGTTTTGGGACAAGATCTTGCTGACCGATTTTCCGTCAGCCTTGTACACCACTCAATTTGGCTTGATACGCTTTGAAACGCTGCCAGAGGATCAATCTAATCATTGTTTCCAAAACCTTTTCGGGAACGACAGCTTCCGAAATTTCTCAAATTTCGGACACAAGGAAGTTCGTTCTACTTTGCTCTGCACTAAATAACCATGGAAGAGGGTTAATGAGACAGAAAAGTTCAGCACAGCCGTAAGATATTTGTGCCGCCACATCAGTATGAGCAAGGTGGATGGATGATATTCATCAACCGTATGATCTAGCTCCATCCAATAATGCATTTCCAGCTCGAGATTTTTTTTGATATGAATGATATGGCCTTTTAGTAGATCAGATGTCAGACTCACGGAAAGGAGAACTAGCAATTTGCTTAGAGAGACTTGACCTTTGTGAGTCAAGTATGCTGTTAGTTTCGAAAACCCTTGACCTTGAGTAAAATACGACACAAACGTCAAAACAGTGCGGTGATCCTGGTGGAACGATTCCAAGTTAGCTAACTGTCCCACTCTAATGGGATAATGTTTCTGAGAAGACCGAATGAGAGGCTTTGACCTAGCTTGTAGTGGAAAAAGAGTACTTTGTTAGTTGAGTTTTGCGGTAGATCCGGGTGACTTATCCCGCCATCCGAAGAGGTGCCACCGCTCAATCTATGTGGTTTGCAATCGCAAGCAACTGGGTTGAGAATGAACATGAATATGATACATATATATATATATATATATATAGTATAAATATAAATA